GTCGAATGTTTTACATTGCTAAATGAAGGATGAATAAACTTTTGCTATAAAGCAGCAGAGACTATTGCAATCCGCGTGCTTAAAGAAATATGACACCTGTGTACCCCTGCTTGYTCGAAGAACAAGGGCATTTTGTTYATATATGAGGATGAGATGGAGAACTGATGTGTTTTTGRGGAATATTATTTTAAACTACAATTGTATATTTATTCATCATCATTTTCACACACGAACTGTCTGTCTGAAATAAGTGTTTTTGAACTTTTTCTAAATTTGTCTTTCTCTCTGGGTGTTTGTGTGTGTTTTTCYGCAGGKCRAATGCTGTTCTCACCAAGGGTTCTCCATTTCCACCTGGGACCAGCTGCCTGCCACCTCGTGCTAGCCTTTCCGACGGGCGTTTCCTGGGGGTCCTTTTTTGGGAGGACCCATGCCTCCCACATCATCATATTCCACCTTTGAGCAGGCTGTGTTGCGGCTGCTCTCTCTCTCTCTCTCTGAGTGAGGCTGTAAAACAGCTACACTTCTGGKCTGTGTTTTGGTGTGGTTTCTGATCACACACATGTTGCCTTAATGAAATAAAGAGAACATGACTGTTTTTTTTACACCCAGGCTAAAATAGCTGGGTGAGAGTGTTTTGTTTCACCACACTGTTGCATTTTTTTCACCCCTGCGCAATCAAGTATAAACTACCTGTCACTGAAATATTGGACTATATTTGTGCTTTTCTGACTGGCTTATTATAATGCATTTTAAATGTTTCACTATTTAACTTGTTATTTTTGTTAATTTTTTTTTTTTGCACAAGCCATTATGCCAGTAATCCATACATTTGAGTTCTTGCCTTATGGGCTCTGTGGTTTTTGACTAAAGTGATTTTAAAACTTTCATTTTATGTTTTTTTTCTTTTTTTAGCTACTAACTTTTCTGGGTTTGCAGAGTTTACCTTATGTATGCTCTGGTAGTTTTAGAGTTTGATTTTTGTTTTTTCATGGTTTTGGATTGTTTGGGGCGGAATAAAGTTTACCTGAATGAGGTGGAAACTGAATTTTGCACATTTTAATGACATTTCCACAATTATTCATGAAGTCTTGTTGTCTTCATTTATCATTTGCTTTTGAACTTGTCCAATCTCTTTGCAAGAAGTAAATGCCTTCAGCATTTCTTCATCTTGCCTTGTCCTAATTTGYATTACTTAAGGTTCATTTATTGACAACTATCTGTTATTAAGTTAACACATTATTCAAGATATGATTCTGAAGGCACATACTCGGCTAGTGCTATCATATTTAAGGGGGGCAGAACTTGTGTTTGTGATACCTTGTTAAATTTTGGACACTTATTTTTTTAAAATTTTGACATGTTTGAATTTTTTTGACTCTGTTTACACCGTTTTACATTGCACTTGTTCCTTTTCCATTGGTGTTGATGCAGTTATGGTTACTTATAGATATGCAAATGTTTCTTCCATATTTTTTACTGATTAATGGATAATCAGGAGGAGGGACTGTAATGGAAGAATATCCTATGACTCCCTAACTGCATATTACCTTGACATGTCCTGTTCTGTATCTCTTGATAACTGCCATTATATAATCTGTTTCTCATGATTCTTAAGATACTGCATGTACTCATGTAATCTCAATGGCCTAATTACTTGTAACTATCTCATTGGTTCCTGTATATCTCTGATGCTCTTATTTTGTTAGCAGGATGTACAGCATATTTTGTCTCGTCCTGATGCATCTCAGTAATCCAGGTAAAGATTCAAAAAGAAAAAAAATTGTATAGGTCCTCTGGACAGGTTCTTCTCTAATGAAACGTTTCGTCTCTCCTCCAAGAGACTTCTTCAGTCTGAGAGTTTCAGGCAAAATTCAGGCTTTTAAGCCCTGCCTCCATGTGACTGATACTCACATCACATGGCTATCGTTGACACCTAATTAACACCTATTGTTAACAGGGGGTGGAGTGATACTGGCAATAGCAGCACTGTAGGAGGGGGACAACTGAAAACGGAGGCCTCCACCTCTTTAATGATGGACGGTCTTTCTTCACAAAAATGGCTTCTTTTACTCCTCTCTCAAACCAACGTTCCTCTCTATCAAGAATGAGAACATCCTCATCTCTGAAAGAGTGACCGCTGGCCTGTAAATGAGTGAAAACTGCAGAGTTCTGGTCATTAGGTGTAGCTCGTCTGTGTTGGGACATTCTTTTGAACAGTGGCTGCTATTGCCAGTATCACTCCACCCCATGTTAACAATAGGTGTTAATTAGGTGTCAACGATAGCCATGTGATGTATCAGTCACATGGAGGCAGTGCTTAAAAGCCTGAATTTTGCCTGAAACTCTCAGACTGAAGAAGTCTCTTGGAGGAGAGACGAAATGTTTCATTAGAGAAGAACCCGTCCAGAAGACCTATACAATTTTTTTCTTTTTATATTTTGTCTGTTTCCTGTTTCCGGGTCAGCGTGAGCTTGACAGACATTTCAATTCACATCTGTCCGGCTCTGCTCATTCTCTGCATATGCATCTTTCTATTAAATAATCTGAGACTGAGACCACACAGTTTCCACTTTGTTTATCTCCCGCATCTCTGCCCTGGCGAAACGGTGCCACGACARTGTGAAAAACAGTTTTTAATGATATTGAGCTCTGTTGCCTTAATTGTGTGTATGGCTGTAATGAAGTTATCATTTATAAATACAGTAAGTTAAAATAATTGTGACCTTGTGTTTACCTTGTGATGTGTGACCATTATCAGTGAAAGTTTTATTTCATCTCATTTCTTTCTCAGACCTTAACTCAATTTTCTCAGAAAAGGCCAAACTTTCCAGAAAAAAATTCAAAAATATACCTGCAAAGGGGCAAAGGCTTTCTGAGAAATCACAGCAAAGCAAACACAAGTGCAAACTCAAGAGGAGACATGTGTCAGCCAGTTTACTTTTTCCTCTCTTAAAGCTTGTGCACATCACTATTAAACATAACTTAACCCTAACTCAAACTAACTTTAATTTGCTGTGAAAATGGAGTGTGAATGCTTCGCACCCCATCCCCAAAAAAATAAAAAAGAGAAAAAGCACACTTTTGTTGAATTAATCAATAGTAAGCTGAACTTATTAAAAAAGTGAATTTAGCTGAAAAAAAACTTAAAGTAGCTAAAACACAGAAAACATCTGAAATTGGCAGAAAGAACATGACAGAAGCCTAAAAAGGTTGGAAGAACATTTGCAGAAAAGGTCAGAATTATAGCTAAAAAGGTCCCCAAAAGCTCAAATAAACAGAAGCCAAAGGATGCTGAAATTAGTACAAAGATGTTAAAAAAAGCAGAACCAGGTAAAAATATTTATGAACATTTTTGAATGGTTTTRAGGGTGTTGAAGGCAGCTCAAGGAAAAAAAAATTTAAAAACAGCAGAAAAAGCTAAATATTTCTGAACTGCCTAAACTGATAAAGTACCAAAAGTCATAGCCAGAATGTTATGAAGGAGCTGAACGTTTTGATATTTAAATTGTTGAAATAGAACAAAAACTGTGGCTCAAAGATGCGTGCCAAAAAAAAAAAAGGATAAAAAAACATGGAAGAAAAAGGGATCTCAATAGTGTGAATGCTTAAAGCATACAGAGGGTTTCTTTCACATGTTGCATTTACTGTGAAACATATGTAACTCTTGTGCCACAACAAACAATGAAATATGATTTTCCTTACTTCTTGTAAGATAATAAACAGGCTCAACCAAAACATGATAATTTTTTGGTCAAAGACAAGACAAGACTATTACAAAGTCTCTGTGCTATTAAATTATGAAGTTACATATTTCCATTTTGTGCCAGACTCCTCTGCCTTTGATAATCCATTTGGTCCTCTAAAGGTTATTGTTATCAACGTGGATCCCACAAAAAGCTTGGAAGGAGAAATGAAGTGCTGCAGTGGGAGCCCACCTTTCCCAACCCTTTCAGCACCAAGCCATTGACTCCTGCCACACAATTCCCTGCACTAAATGCCACTTACGCTATTACAAGTTTTCAGCTGAGTACAGCTCTGACCTGATGGGGCTGAGGACAAAGGGAGAGCACCGACAGGGACACTTATGAAATGCCAGCCGAGAATAACCACCACCAATGGGATATAGGGCTCTTTCATGGCCACTGAGGCACTGAGTTTGACACAGACAGCTACAACCTCCCCACTATACCTTAAAGGGATGTTGCCAATGTATTTGCTTGAATGCTTGTAACGTATGCAGCATCACATGAGATCTCCGGTTTATCCAGGTGTGGAAAGTGTTTTGTCTCACTGAATGGCATCAACACACTTGTAACTTTTAGGCAACCTTGACATAATTGTGCCATAAATGTAACTGACAGCTCTGCAAGCTCTTCTGGACTTGCACTCAATCATAACTATATCACTGTCCACTTGGAGGACACAAGCTGCAATTCAGTTCAGCGGCATGATTTTGCAACTTCTCTGATATAGATTGCTGTTACAAAGTGTGCACATGTACTAAAGAGATACACTTATTATTGAAGGATTAATCTGACAATCAATTGCTCTTGAGCGACAGACTTAAAGAATGCCTTATTGTTTGATATTTTGTCTAATGGGGAAAAATAATTACCCAAACACTTTCAAAAGTATTACAATCTTCTTGTTAGCATAGAAAAACTACTAAGCACATGTTTTTATATTATTATTTTTTTTGCTTGTTGCCTGGCAACTGTCAAAGCCAAATAATTGTCTGGCACACAAAGCTTGTAAAAAGGCAGAATTTGCTTTTTGCATCTTTTAAACAAATCTTTTAAACTGTGCTAATGAGTGAGTCTTGCAGTTCTAAAAAAAAGGCTAAAACATTGTCCAAAACATTGCTCACTTCTTCTTGTCCTTATGCCAAACTTCAGTAAGTTAGTCAACTGCTTACGCCAGATGCATTTTCTCAGCTACAGCTAACAATAAACAAACAAACAAACAAACAAACAAATAAAACAAGATAAAGTAAAACTTACATGTTCTATAAGCTCCCTAATCATGCCATTCCACTGGCCCTTGTCATCCTGAGAGCCGTACTTCCCATCCGGCACCAAGCGGATTTCATACGTAAAGCCCAGGATGTTGGCCAACTCCCTCAGCAAGTCGATGCAGAATCCTTCAAAACGGTCGTTCCCAACCAGCGCCTTGTCAGACTTCTTAAGCATGACATATGGCTCCTCCTGCACAGACCCAAAAGATCAAACAAGAAGCAATGGTGAGGTCAGCTTTTTCAATTTGTTTCAGCACATGCACCTAATTGAAGCAAAGCGATGTGAGCTGACGAGTCACTGTTGCACTTAACAGATAGTGACAGCAGATTGGAGTTTGGCGTGCGGATACAGACGAGTGTTAACATATGAAAGACGGTTGTTCTTTTCTTGTTCACGGAAAAAATAAAGGAAAAAAAATACAGAGCTAGACAACGGCTGTAATGTAGGTAAATATTGTTTACATGTTCATATTGGAGAGATAATTATGGGCACAGATGTTCATATATATAATATTTTCATTTTGGAATACAAATCTGTCTTCAGTGTTGAACTAACTATCCCTATTATGTTCTATGTTGCGCATTAACCTATTTAGCAGGTGCAGAGGTCAGTCCATTTTATGGTCAGGTACCTAACACTCTTTACTGGCCTGTAATCCTTTGCATGGCTGCTCATAATTTGGGCTGTAAAAAAAAGGCTGATTAGGAACAGAATGCCACCGCGAAAAGGGACGTGCCCACGATGGCGCCTTCATCAATTGTCAGCATCCTCTGAGGGAGAACAACTGAGCTGATGCCTGCAGTGACAATGACTAAYGCTGAATTGCTCATAAATGATTTCCTTTATTTAGTGCCTGTTACCATTTCCCTGTCAGACAGACTTGCAGATCCTGCTGAGCATGTTGGTCCATTTATGCAAAAGCTGTAATACAATTTATTGCCCCCCAATAGCCAGATGTATAATTTACTAACTGAGCTGARAAGCAGAGTAATTGATTCTCTTGTGAAGGTGACCCCTTGCATTGTGTTTTTTGAGTGTGTGAGTGTTAGTGAAAGGAGACACACACACACACACACACACACACACACACACACACACACACACACACACACACACACACACACACACACACACACACACACACACACACCACTTAAAAAAAGATGGGAGTCAGAGGAGAAAAGAGGCAGCCACGGCACTTCATTCCCCAAGGAAATTATTTTTATAAGGAGAGGCAGACGTAGTGAAAATGCAGGTGGTGGAGTCAAAAAACACAACACTTGCTGATAGCATGTGAGCAAAGTCCATGTGTGAGTCAAATATTTGTTTAAATGCTTTCAAAAGGAGTCTAGCAAAATAACTAAAGAACATACAGTAAGAGAAAAAAATATATCTTGTTACTGTTTAAAGCCACTTGGACACTACTTTTAGTATAAACTTCTTAAATAATTAACAAGATATGAATTCTTGATGACAATGCATTTTGAGACCAAATGCTTTTGCTGCAAACTTTGCTTAAGTTGTCCAATTAACTTGATCAAAAAGTTTGCGTGTTTAAGGGAAGAGAGCCATTACCATCTGTTTCTAGCCTTCCAGTTTGTGCTATTCCCTAAGGTTTGGACTCAAATCAAAGTCTTTAAACCAGCTCTACCCTCACAGTCACAGCATGAGCACGCGTAACAAAAAAGGGAGAAAGTGGGCTTCTGCGGAGACATTACAAGCAATGGAGTGCAAACAATTATTGTAAGAGGAAAAACACATTAGGTGCCCTAATCTATTCTACAAAGTTATCACTRTAAAGTCGTCAGATGTCTTGCTCATGCAACCAGAGAATAAGTGTGATGCATCTTTATTACACTATAGYTGYGTTTCCATTGCAARTGTGCGCAAAACTTTGTCGRTATTCTGTTAATGTCGAAAAAACACAGTTTYGCAACTGCAGTGTTTCCRTTAAGTAAGMAATGCWATTAAAGTCACGTGTGAATAYGTTTGTTCTCRCGATAGGTCATTACAAACATGGCGGCAATGGATGTAAACACAYAGCATGTTGCTACMGSGACACTATCACTCATCATCAGAGGAGACGWCGGCATCWTTTATMGAGGCTTTCCAGCGATAAGCCCCTACTTGGGAGTCGTYAYGYWTGTTGTGTTTTTGGGAAATTATAGTCRGTGAGTTTAYTACTTCATTTTACWACTTCTGTGATATTACTGCCACTTCTACTTCCTGTTATCTTCTTCTTCGTCATCTTTATTGCCAGTAGAAACAGCCGGATGTTGATCACGTGACTCCCGTGATGCGAAAAAAGTGTTTCCATTGCAGTTTTGCGAGAAAAACCAATTCCGATACGGCCGAAAAACCACCTCATCCTAGCTCAAAAACATTTTGTCGAAAAACGTAACTTTCATCAAAATTGGCGTGTTTCCATTGAGCAAATTTATTTTCAAAATTCTAATTTGCGTATTTTCATGGTCACTGGAAACACAGCTAATGAGAGGCTAGTTCTACTATTCGTGACAACCACTGCATGTTGCAAAATCTCACTTTATTGCATGTCAAAAGGTTTGACCAAATTAATCCAACTCCGTCCTTCTCAACCCCAGATGATCTTAGCCTAAGAAAGGTCTTTTAATTCTTCATGTGGATGTTCAACAGCTGAACGTTTCCTCTCAGATGTGAAAACCCGAGCGGCTCGATGTTCCTGTGACATACTCAGAGACGGTGGCCGTCCTGTTAATATCTCGGCCTACAAAATCCAAATGAAATACAAGCTCTGACACGGATGTAATAAAGTATTCTACAGCCTCAGGAATTAATTTTAATGTGTCAGCTAAAAAAAGAAAAGCCAAGTCAGATCATTATAAATGAAAAGCCAGAAGGAACGAGTTCACCGGGTCGCCTCTTTCATACAGTACCATCTAATTTACAGCCTTCAGCTCGTCCTCTGCCGCCATCCGACCGGGTGCTGGAGCGTGAAAACCATTCGAGACGTGATCGCTTTCTCTCCTGTCTCGCCGTAGATCGCGGTCGCTGGGTCACTCTGCACAGGATTACTGCCGTATGTGACAACTTTTAAAATGTGTTGCTGCAGTCCTTTCTGATTATTTCAGGATTTCTATGGGGCGCCATTTATAAAGCTGCACAGTCAAAAATTACCACCAATGTTTTTGTTTTATTTAGACTTTTATAAGAAACAAAGAACAGATTTATTTT